ATATATATATATCTGTAAAATATAACTACATAAATATTGAGATTCTGGAAGGTCCGTCCCTTTGGGAAGATTAAGAATATATATGATAAACAAAAGCAAAAATAAATGTATATTATATATTGTAATGAAATAAAGAAAAGGAAAATGCAGATATATTTGTAAAACATATGGAGCTAACCTTGCCAAGGGTTTTGGGTTTGGTTATGTTGGGAGTTCATGCAGTTTCCCATGCCAGCAATGTTGAGAATATCAGTGTGAGAGAGGGGTCTAAGACCCAAGAAATCTCTGGTCATGGCCTCATTATAATTTCCTCCTCCTCCGCCGCCGCCGCCACCACCGGCACGGTCATCAGCGGCGGTTGTTTTCGTCACAGCACCATTGAAAGGGTCCTCAAAAGAAGTCCCTTCAAAAGGGGAAGAGAAAGAGTTAATAACATGGTGAAGGAGTGATGAAGAAACACCAACACCAACACCAACACCAGGAACAGCTTTATTCCCGAAAGGTACCAAGCCATGGGGAGTGGTGGTGTTGGAAGTGGGGGTCATCTGGTCGTCACGTGAGGACAAATTCAAAGAGTCAGCAGACACGTGAGCCTGTTGGTGGGTCCTAATCATGGAGCCAGTTTTGCTCATGGTAGCTCCCATTTGGGCTACTTTCTGCAGCAACGCTGTGGCTGACATGTGAGGAGGGGAAGGTGCTGTTGGGTAGGGAGGGAGAGTGGGACCACCTCCACCACCACCACCTCTAGGGTTAGGGTTTTCATGGAGACTGCTCACATGATCCTGCTGAGAGAAGAATGAGGAGGAGGAGGAGGAGAGATCAATGGTGGAGGGTGGTTGTCCAAGCCAAGGGGGCATGAAACCTTGTTGCTCTTTCTTCAATGGGAAATTGTTACCATGGATGTCTTCATCATGATGATGATGATGATGATGATGATGATGATGAGAGGATGAAGGGATCACTACTCCTGCTGCAGGTGCTTTGTGAGGTGTTGTTGACGTTGTAGCTGAGTTGTTGGGAATGCCAATGCCAATGTCCATGCCTGTCACAGATCTTGCACTCTCCTCTGCTAATGCATCACAGAAGGCTCTGTGGGTTATGAAACTGTCCCTCCTTGAGAAGAGAGTTCCGCAGTCACATCTGTACTCTATTGTGCCACAGGTTTTTGAGTGAGCTTTCCAATCTGATTGAACAACATACTTCTTGGAGCACTTGTCGCATTTCCACTTCTTCTCGCCGTGCTTTCTGCAGAAGTGCTTCTTGATGCCAGTTAGGTCCCCCAGGGCCCTTGAAGGGTCGTGGTGGACGCAACTTGCTTCTGGGAAGACATAAACCTTCTTCCTTATCTCCTTGCTCGTTCTCTACTTCAGCTTCCATGGCAAGTTGTGCCCTCTTCTGTGGCAAGTTGCGACGGTATGGACACATATAAGTACATCTAGAACTAAGGAAATTCTCCCAAGAGCATTATTACCTAGACATAGGGATAGGAGGATTGGTTGCCTTTAAGCTTATGAGCGAATGTAATGCATGACTAATTGCTAGGGAGACAAGACATTGGAAACTAGTGATTAGGAGTAGGCTTTCTTCACCGAGACATCGGGGTTTAAGGTAAATTAGAAAGGGGCATTAACATTAATGAAGAAAGATGAATTCTTGAATACATGAGAGTGGATCGGATGAATTGAAAACCCCAACAACATCATCATTCCATAATTTACATCAATCACTTTTGCTTCTTTTGATCCAATTGATCAATACATGCATTCATATTTAATTTTCAGTATTTGCATTTAAACCTACAAGAATTTGTTCACAAGTCTAATTTAATCAATAAATCACATAACTGTTTAGGTCGTGAGTCTTTTAGGAAACGATACTTGGTCTTACCATTTTATTATTACTTGATATGATTTAGTTACACTTGTCGAGGGTTAACAGGCATCCATCAGTAGACGCCTTCAGTAGCATCCATCAGTAGACGCTTAATCACATAGCATCCATCAGTAGACACTATCATTCATCACCCTCATCATAGCAGCATCCATCAGTAGATGTTGTCATATGAGTCCTCATAGCATCCCCTAGTAGATGCTGCCCAAAATCAATCAGTAGATGTTGTAATTCCTACAAAGCAAATTCAAATCCAAAAGAAAAAAAAATCAGAAATTGGGTTGCCTCCATTAATCACAATCTTCACGAGCTTGACATTAAGCACAATCTTCATCTATGATGTTGGTGTTCCTTTTGCTGTCATCACACCAACTTATCTGCAACATCTTCTTGTTCATCATCTTTACCCTCCTAGAATAAGGAGCCTCAATCTCAATAAATCCATTCTCTTTTATATTTGTAACCACTTCATGCACAAAACTTGGTGAACATGACACTTCAAGGATGGCGTTCAGCGCCCTTAATGGGGCGCCCAGGCGCGCCCTGCGACCTTCTTTGTCCTTCTTCTCTTGATGATCATGTACTCCTAGTACAAATTTATGAATTTTATCCTACAAACACTAAAGAACACTACACTAGAGCACCTAATTATCACAAGCAGATAAAAAAAATTAAAATGATAAAAAGAGGAAGAGATAGAAAGATAGAAAGATAAAAAGATAAAAAATTAAAAAGAAATGAAATGAAGAGATAGAAAGATAAAAAAATAAAAAGATAGAAAGATAGAAAGATGAAAAAATAAAAATAAAAACGTAAAAAGATAAAAAGATGAAAAGATAAAAATAAGAATAAAAAGATAAGTAGATAGAAAGAAAAAGATAAGTACCCTATGTGTATATTCAACACAAGGGAGATTAATCTCATATCTAGTTTTATTATATTGAACAAATATAATCATTTTTTGGGCACACAATTGATGAGTATGTAACTCTTAAGGATAAAATAGAGGAGCTTATCCAAGTTGGCCACCTTAAGAGGTTCTTGAGGAAGGATGATGTTGATAGCTCATGCGTTGAACTAAGAAGGTACAATGATTCGAGGGAAGGCTATTGAGATAGAGAGATGATAAGGATGAAAGGAATAAGGAGAAACTAACACATGGTGAAGAGAAATGTGTCGATAACAAGCTCCTACTTAAGTGAGCCATCAAAAGGGTTTGTTGGAGGAAGGTCATTGACAACAGGAAAAGGCACCTTAGAATGGTGTAGTCTATCAATGTAGTGTCTAAGACCTTTAGGAGGAAGAGGATGTCTCTTATCACCTTCACAGATGTTTACTTCCAAGGTGTTGATCCTGAGCAGGATGTCTTTATTGTCATTACAGTGGAGATTGAGAACTTCGTTGTCAACAAGATCTTGATGCACCAATCCAATTTAGTAGATATACTTTACTAGAAGCTATACAAGAAGTTGCAGTTGCTAGAAGAAGCTATGACCCCATATGACAAGCCCATAGTTATCTTTTTAGAGGAGAGGGTCAATATCACGGGGTATATTGACTTGCACCACTTTTGGAGAGAGAGATTTGGCAAAGACTATCATGTCCTTTCTTCATTAAATTCGTTACTTTTAACAAAATTGCACTGGGATAATCGATTATCATAAGTGATAATCAATTATTCCCAAGAAGCTCATAATTACACAAAACATACTATAATAATCGATTATCACTTAAGATAATCAATCACGAAGGTCACACTTGCCAACAAAAACTTGCCGCAAAGATGCTAAGGAACCAATTGTCACAAAGAAAGTGTCGTGCTTGAGCAACCAAAAAATGCCTCTCCTTCCTTGCAAAAAACCCCAACCAGAAACGGAAAAGGGAGAAGGAGCATAATGTCTTCCTTCCTATGAAAGACCAGTAACATAGTAAAGAGGAAGAAAGTCTCCCCTCTATGCGAAACACAACATATAACCAAAATAAAGGGGAAGAAGGAATAATACCTACCTTTCCTGCATCACGAGCTCGAACCAGAAGAAAAAGGAAGAAGGAAACCCTCCCTGAGTGAGGATCTTACACGAGACCGCTATGACACCCAAGGTTGGTCTGTCTGCGAACCATCAAACAAAGTTTGGGGTTGATTAGAGTTCTTTGAGAATGAATCCCATTTGAGAGTTAATTAGGGTTAAGGGGATTTAATTGAATTACCCGATTAGGAATATTATAGGTAATTAAAAATTTTCATTAAACAATGATTAAAAGACCCCTAACCCCTAATTATTTCTAATTGTGCTTGAAAGGAAACCTCAACCCCTAATTATAATTAAAAGAAAACCCTAATTCCTAATTTGTTCCTCTAGCCTCACATAACAAACTTTTCTAGTAATTACTCACTTTTCTTTAAACCATTATTCAAATATTTACTTGCTAAAATTAGATTCATGTGTGCTCATAAACAAGAACCAACATTTATTGGTCCTATAGTAACATTTCCATGGTATAGAGACTACCATAATCTCCTAATTCACCCAAACAATCACACATACTCAAATGAATCATTCAAAACATTCAAAATTACAATCGATCAAATAAATAAATAATTACATAAGGTAAGTTTCCCATACTTTAGCCAATTCTAAGGTTTTATCTACACAAGATCAATCAATCCCGAGTCTCTCACGCTTCGATTATCTATAGAGAAATTCCTCTCTCCTCTTTAAATTCGAGTCTCTTTGTCTCATAGTGTTCTCTTTCTTTTCCTTTCAATTTTTTAAGTGTCTCCTTTTTTACTTTCTCTCTCTCTCCTTTTTATTTCTAGTTCAGTGAAATATCTTTTTTTTTAAATTAATTAATATTATAAACTAAAAGTAACCGTCTAGATAATGCTTCCTATAATATTCCAACTGGTTTTTAAAAACATAACTGCTAGATTTTAAATCTTTTTTTTAGCTTATTTTATTTCAAGTGTAGACCTTTACTTCCTATACCCTCATTTATAATTCTTGCACCTCAATACACAAAGGAAAACGACATTCTAGCCCATTCATTTGAACTCCCATCCATTCGATCCTAGACAACCATCTCTACCAACAAGCCAACACATCACATTGAGAATATAAGACATCACAAATTTAGCAACCATAAAATAACATGTGGTGCACTTATATTAACAAAATAAATAACTAACATAGCATTTATGTTCTAACAAAGAAGTAACCACAAGACCATTTAGCCCATCAAGGAGCTCTCACCAAGTGAGCTACATAACACCCTGTTAAACATATGAACTCTTACAAGAAATATACTCAAGTCTTAATACTACTTTATTCTAAAATGCTATATTTTCTCAGGTCTTACAAAAGATAACCATTAATCGAAGATAATTGACTTTGTTGAGATTATGTGGCTTCTCGTATGAAGATATGTACTTTTCTACACCTTGAGAAGAACAATATTGCTTTCACAGTTAGAGCTTGTACAACTATGGTAGGAGATAAAGCATTAGGAAATAATTTAGGAATGTCTTCCTCTCTCACAACGTCTTTCTGATCCTCATGCAGTGCTTTTGAGTATATCTTGGTGTTATCAATATTTGCACAAATAAAGAGAAAAAAAGGAAGAGTAGACAAGGTACGATACATAGATGAATTTAATGATCTACACGTTCATATAATGTTGAGACATGAATAGTATGATAAACGTTTAGTACAAGTTTGAGCTTTTTCAAGTAATGACCATTAACAAGATGTAGTATTTAAGGCTTCTTTTACTAAACGTGTTTTTGACAACGGTTGTTTATTATGTTATACTTGCCACATCATGATTTGTTTTATACGCGTTTAGCAAGACTATTATGATGTGCACATTGTCCAAACGTCTTTAAACGATATTTCGTTGAATGTTGTTTAATAAAGTTCAAAACTACGAGATGCTAGACAATCTATTATTTTTAATTGATTATGTATTAACAATATATATATATATATATATATATATATATATATATATATATATATATTGTATTTGCCCCCTTCGAGTTAAGAATAAAATTAAATAAATATAATATTCTCATTAATAAATTAATACATCAAAAAATATTACACCATAATAAACATAATTATGATCACATTATACCAGAAATATCATTAAATTTGATAATTTATATAGACATATAAAAATAATAAATTAAATGGAGTATAATATATCAATCAATGATATTGGTAAAGCATAATTTGTCAATAAATTATATTATCAGTTAATTACCTTAACTATTGACATCTACCTACAAATATGATAAATATGATGTATTCTTGGAGAGAGTACTCACTTTCAATCTCATATATTCTTCTATACTTATAATTTTTATGTTCTTACTTACTTGGGCATTAATCTTCTGCATGTGGATCGTGCGTTAGTTTTATTTACATATCAACGATCTAGTCTCTTCATGTCACTTTGGATTACCCATGCTTTTTCTAGTAAGATTATTTGGTGCCCACTTGGTCTATATGAAACTCTTCTCATACCCTTTCAAAGTATTAAAAAAAATTATTTGTCATGAATGATGTTATTGCATTGTTCATTTTACACATTTGGGAATATCTTATGTGTTTTTCTTGCTTCTATTATACAAAGTACAACACAAGAACTAAAAAAAGAGTTACTTAATCCTTGGTCTTGCAATAAATGAGTTTAAATTAATACAAGGTTATTTTATATTCCACTTTCAACGTAATTATTTATATTCATTTGTTAAAGTTTTAAATATTTTTTCAAATAAGTGTTTAAGTGCTTTTGGGTTAAATGGTCTTTAATAAGTGTTAAACACTTAAGTATTTCTCTTAAGAGCATTTATGAAAACTTTAGGAAACAAAAGTAATAAGGCAAACTTATTTTTATATTGGTTCGCTCCAAACTAGTTCTCCCTTAAGCACTCTTAAGGGGTTTCACTAATCTTTCAAAAAATTACACCACTCCTAGTTTTAGGTTAGACAAGTTTCACCACTCTTTGTGTCTCACTTGGTCTAAGTAACTAGACCATTTAATTGCACTTAGTTAAACAATCAATTGTTTTCAATGCAAATAAATCTGAAGACTAGTAGTAAACTTTTCTTTTTCAATGACAATGTTAAATGATGAAAGCTTGAGAGAAAAAAAGACAGCGCATAAAATTCATATAGTGTTCTTCTGGTCTTCTCTTCAAGCAATCCTCTTTATATAGCCTTTTCTTCCAAAAAGATCTGTTACTCATATGCATTAGCTTTCTCGTAGGTAGATAGCCTTTTTTTTATGACGTCAGATGCTATGTGCTTTTGCAGAGATAACTTGTATGGATGAGCAAAGAGTAAAGCACTTGAAGAAATATTCCTAGAATGTCTTTCTATCTCTTAACGTTCTTTTGATCCAATGCAAAACATTTGAAAAAGCTTTGTACTTTTTGTGATCAGCATAAATAAAGAGAACACAACCCAACAGACAAAAGAGTACTATATGTACATGTATTTAATACTTTAGACATTAAGCGTTTAGCCAAGGTAACTTAGTGTTTGAACAACTTTTGATTTTAGAGTAACACTGAGTGTTTAGGATCATGTTAATATGATTATGGTGTTTAGCAATCTTATCCTAGACTGATAATTTTATTAGATGTTATTTCATTAAATATTATTTGTTAAACTTCAAAACATGAGTTGCTAGAAGATCTTGTCTTATTAAACGATCTTGTCTTAACGCAATCATGGTAGAAGTATAAATCTCTACCAATAAAGGTAAAAGGATAAATTCTTACCAAACAATCAAGGTAGAACTATTTAAGGCCCTCTACATTTAGAAAATCATATACTTGTTGTTAATATGTCAATCCATATAATTTTTAATGGCGAATTCATGTACACTTTAAAACTCTATTTCATCATGAATTCGGACGTGAGTTAGTTACATATTAGTATAAATTTTGGATTCATTTAGTAGAAAAAAGCTCATAGGCATGTTTCATGGTATATTATTAGAAGAATCTATCCAACATCATCTATTACCAATGTCTCAAGATTTATTTTCTAAAATGATTAGATTTATTTTTTTTATAGTTGACAATGAACTAATAATAGAATTGTATTCACCACTCTTCTTTATGCTTTATTATTTTTTATTTTTAACTCCATTAGCCAAAGACTACAAATGTTACCCACAAAGTGTAACTTCGAACAAAAGTATACTAAGTTAATCAGAATTATTTTTTAACCTCTTTATATATATATATATATATATATATATATATATATATATATATATATATATATATATAAAGGTTGAGTAATGATTCTAATTTAACTCAGTGTATCTTTATTCAAGTTTAAACATTGTGGGTAGCATTTATATGTATCACAACAAATTATTTAAATTATGAATGGATTTTAAAGTTTCAATTATTAACGGATATAAATCTATCAATAATACAATTTTGTTTTACTAATAACAAAAATTCGTCAACAATTACATACATTAAAATCCATTTTAAAAAAGGAGCAGTAATTTTCCCACCCAATCCAAATCCCTTATTTTTCGGTCATAGAAGCTTTTAAGGTTTCTCATTCCTCTCCATGGCATCACTACACATGTTCTCATCTCCACCACAACTTCCATGACTTTCTCCTTCCTTCACATTTCCTTCATTAGTCTAGTGTGGTCGTGAGCATCGTTAATTGCTACTAGGTGCTTTGTTAGTATCTACTTTACTAAAAGTCACCATCCAGAGCACTACCACTAATACCTTCACAATTCCGTAGAGTTGTTATCGCTGTGATTGAACCTCACGTCATGGGAATACATCTCTTTTTCCTCTCTCACATTGTGTGACATGTTTGGCAATGTCGCTGGTGTCACTAACATCATTCCTTCTCTTCTCTAATTTTAGTTGCAAATCTAGGAACACTATAGTGAGTAGTCGTTGTGCTTCCATCTTCTTCACATAAACCATCTTCTCTTCTTCTCTTGCGAGATCACTATCCAAGCTTGAAACCACTACCATAACGTCCCCCACCCTAGACTTCACCATCAACGATGCTAGTCTCCATTCACGCAAGATTAAGAGCCATGATCCCCATCTTGACTACCTTGTTATGCTTCATGTTTCATCTTTATGTCTTTGAGCTTAGTATAGTGATTGATAGAGTATACATATGATATATTTTGTCTTTATATTATTGGTAAGGATGAGGAAGAAAATGAATCAGTTTGCAATATTCATTTAAGAATTTTATCGGTGAATTTTTTCTGTAGGTAATTACAGATGAAATTTCTATTTAGTCAATAAATTTTACTAATAAAGATTTTACCTAAGAATGTTTGACCATTATTATTTTGATTTACTGACAAATTTTGATGGTTAATAATATGAATTTTTCTTGTAGTAAATGTTGAGTAATGATTATGATTAACTCATTGTACCTCTATTCAAAGTAAAATCTTGTGAGTAACATTTATATATTTATTTATTTATTATGTTACTTTATAAATTATGAGTATTTTGACAATTTAAACAAAAATAAGAATATTGACAAAGATGGATATTGGCACGAGTACGGCGACGAAGACTATATATATATATATATATATATATATATATATATATACCTCATAGTAAATTGAAAAAAAAAATAGTATTTCCTATATCCATATTTTTATCCTAAGGTATTTTGTCGAAACAAAAATACTTTTAATGGATATTCACATAAACGAGTTCATTTGTCATCCATATTTATGTATCACTCTTTAAAATATAAATAAAGAGTATTTTATTATATAATCCTTAAAAAAAGAATGATGTGGCTTTAAATGTCTTTATATCAATATTTATATTTTTACATTATTATATACTCTAAAGAATATGTATTAATTTTTTTTTGTTTCGTAAGATAATTACTTTTTCTATAATTATTTTACTTTCTTATATTTCATTATTATTTGATATTTTATCTATTATTTATATAATTATAATGTTTTCTATATTTGATATTGAAGGAAAGATAATATTTATTATTTTTATGTTTAATATTTATTATATAAGTTTATTATATTTTATAATTTTTTGATAAAAAAATTATTTATATAATATTTCAAATGATAAAATAATAAATACAAACGTGAATCTAAATATTATTGTTGTCATAATCTGTAAAAATCTACTAGTCAATACGGTCCACAACGAGTTGGATTGAGTTTAAGAAAATTATAAATTTCAGCATAGGTCAAAATTGGACCTAGTCCACCAAAAACTCATTTCACCCGGATTCAACAACTCATTTCATCCGGATTGAATCTGTGGTGAATCGGATTGACTCATTAACCTATCCATAAATTTTAAATAAATATTGAAAACTTTAAACCTCCTACATTGTAGATTATTTATCTAAGACTCTAATATTATAAATACATAAGTTAAAGATAATAATTTGTTTTGTTATTTTGTGTTTTTAGATTTCATCTAAAGTTTAACATGATTTTGAATTGTATTTGAATTATATATATTTTTATTTTATTTTAAACTATATTTAGATTATATTATATTTTTTTATTTATTTTAAATTATATATGAAATTTAACATAATTTTATATTATATTTAAATTAAACTTTATTAAAATTTTAATTAGAAACAATTTGTTACATTTTAAGATTGAAAAAAAATATATAATTAAATAAATTATTAAATCAACTCATTTAACTAAGACGTCAATCCATATTGGATTTGAATGTTTTAAATTTGGTAACAAGTAAACTGGGTTGGATTTACGTTGGTTCAGTGATTAATAAGACAATAATTTCATATTAATTTACACTAAAATCGACAATGAAAATGAATTTTATTTATAGATCTGATAACCAAACACAAATCCTCGTACTACCCACTTCCCATCATAGTTTTTACCAGATTACAAAAGATAAAATTTGATCCTGTCAAACTTTATGAGCAAAACTAAATTTATTCAGGGTTAAGAGAAAACCATCCCCATTGGCATCCATTACAGAGAGATTTAGATTTTTCACTTTCACAGCAGACACATAACTCAAACAACCTGCGAGACTTTCCCATCATCATGGAAGGGCAAGCTAACATATTCCTTTCCAAACTCCTCTACAATCTCAACGTTATTTGCCTTGCAGTATATGTACAACACTGTAGTAACAGCAATCTTAGCAAGCATAACAATAGCCTGGGTGTAACAAAATAACAGAATCAGCGCCCATTTCAACCCCGCAGCAAACCAACTTTCTGTAAATCCATCATGACCCCTCGTCAAATAAAGCAAGTTCCAAATCACGATCAACCCCAAGAATCCATAGAAGAAGATACAAGATAGGGCCACTCCTTTCATTCCCTTAATCAATTTCGCACTTCTTCTCAGGGGCTTTATACCCCAACACGATTCCACCACCACAATAACACTCGCTAGGATCCAGTTAACTTCCAAATACGTCTGCACGACTATTATAGGAAGAACAATTAAGAATCCTATGATGAAGGGTGAGGAGTGTGGAAGAAGCGTTAGATGGAAAAGCTTGGCCCCGTGAATGAGAAGAATCAAGAGAAGACCGTAGAAAAAAGAGATGAAGAAGAAGATGAGTTGGGAAACGATGCTGGTGGCGAGGAGGGGTAGGAAGGAAGTGGAAATGGACTTTATGGCGGATAGGAGGTTCACGGGTTCGTCATGGGAGAAGTGGAAAACGCTATAGATGATGGTGATGATTCCACAGTTGGAGGAAACCAAAAGGAAAAGAGAATAGAGGAGAAAGATGGGGTTGATTGTTTGTGGTGGAAGAAGGCTGGGAGAGTTTTGGGTGCAGAAGTAGTCGAAAAGGTTAGAGATGGTGGGAGAGAGGAGGAGGGAGAGCGAGAGGGGATAGAGGAAGATGAGAGATAGAATATGGAAGTGACGAGCATGTGCTTTGAGGATGAGCTGACTTTCAGAAATGAAGTTCCAGAGGCTCTTCTTCGGAGTCATATCGGAAGGAGAGAAGAACAGCGAAGTGAATTTGATCCTCTTTCTTCCCATATATAAACTACTTTTGATTTTAATAATTATTACATTTAGAATTGACTTGTTAACGCGTTTTATTTATTGATTTTTATTCTAGTACGTTCGTGGAAGCAAGTCTCCTCATACGAAATGACTTTTTCAAACAGGAAAAAGAAGCGAGAAAAGTCATATTAAAAAAAAATATTTTAACAACCTAATTTTGACAAAAAATTGACAACACCATGTGTCAGCGTTGTATTGGACCATTTTAAACAATTTTTTTTTGAAGAAATCTCATTTTAAAAAGGGACAGAGTTTCATATTTGAAAATTCTGAAACCACCCTTCTTTGTTCATTACTCTCTTCTCTCTCCATTTTAGGTTTTTAGTCTTTATTTCAACTTCTCTCTCCATTTGGTGAAGGCCTCGAAGTGGACGTTCAACAATCTCTCTCAACGTTGAGGAAGTTTCGTCGTCGCTGGCCTCGAAGTCTTTCTTTCTCTCTTGAGTTCGTGATTTCAACGATTTACGTTCAATGATCTCTATGGTTGGTCTGATCAAAGTGTCTCGTTCAGTGTCCATTGTGTCGAAGTTCTGAGCTTTTTTTGTACAATGGGTTCGTCCGCTGACATTGGTTTTTCGAACAAGGTATGCACTTTTTCCCTTTTCCGTATTCGTATTTTAGGTTGGGTTTTTGCTTTTGGCCTTTGTTGGTCATTTTGCTGGTTTTTTCTTTTGGGTTGTGACCTTTGTTGGTTATTTGTAACAAGAAATATTAATTTTTTTTACAACTGTTTGTTCATCATTCATTGAAAACGAAATGTGTTGCTACTTTGAATGGAATTTTGAGTGAGGAGCACAAGTCCATTATTTCGAAGACGCAATTTGGATGGTTTTTAGAACTAAATGATAACCTTAAGATTGGTAGGAATAGTCCCAAACATGACTAATTTATGTAATTTATGAATAGTGCAGTATTGGTAGATGTTCAAGTATAGATATAGTTGTATATGTATTGCAACAATTATTTTGAATGTTAATAAAGAAAGTGGTTATTCGAATTGTGATTGTTATATTCATTCCATTTGTTGTTTGATAGTATTATTTAAGATTCAACCTTTGTGAATGTTATAAGAAATGTCCAGTTCTGTCACCCTTATGTGAAGGGAAGACCCACTAAGGGTGTTTATAGTTTCAGAGATTAGGTCCTGCACCATTGACACAAGAATAATGCACTGGTAATCGATTATATAGGGACCTTGTAATCGATTACCAGTGGAAAAATCCTCATTTGTACCAAAAGTTGAGGAGTGCTACCCAGACATGGCTTAAGCACTCACCAGCAGTCCTAACGACTGTGTTTTCAAGGTTTTGTGGATTGATCCCCTTGTTGGCCATGGTTTAAGGTGTCCACAATAAGCAATTTAAAGTTTGATGAGTCCTATATGGATGAAAGACCCACTAAGGGTGTTTATAGGTTGAGAGGTGAGGTCCTGCACCATTGACACAAGAATGATGCACTTGTAATCAAGGTAAAATAGTAGTATAATTAAGGTGTGATGTGATTCTACTAGCACAAGCCAAACACTTATATGGACTTCACCTACCTTGGTTTAAACACCTATATGAACTATTTTGTCCACAATTGAATGGGGTAAATTGTTTTGATGCACTTGACACATATTTGAAAGCTCTTTGAGTCTAGATTCCAATAAAACAAGAATCAAGTCATTTAGAGTTCGGTGGAGAAAGTTAAGAACAAAACAAGTAGCAAAGGTCAGAAAAACAGAGTTGGGGAGTGTTGTTCATCCAGGTGGGGAGTACAGATGAAGTTTCTATACAAATGACAATTTTTCATTTGGTAATCGATTACAAGGGTCTTGTAATCGATTACTAGAGGAAAAAGGGTCATTTGTACAGAAACTTCAACTGTACTCCCCAACTAGATGAACACTACTCCCAATGCTCTATTTTTGTTGATTTTTTCATTTTTTGAGATGGGTGAGTGAGTTCAATGTTATTGGGTGTGCTCCCTGTTAGACCCTCGGCAAGTGTAACTGAATTGTATCAAGTAATAAACCTGGTAAGACCAAGTATCGTTCTCCCAAACTCACAGCCTAGACAGTTGTGTGATTTGTTGATTAGCTAAGACTTGTAAAACCGATTGATTAATATTTAAATGCAAATACTCAAAAGTAAATATGAATGCATTGATTGATCAATGGTAAGAAGAAACAAAACACGTGAATTGAAATATATGGATGATTATGTTGTTGGGGTTTATCAATTTCATCCTATCTACTCTCATGTATTCAGGAATTTATCTTTCTTCATTAATTGTTAATGCCACTTTCTAAATTACCTTAAACCCGATGTCTAGCGAAGAAAGCCTAATCATAATCACTAGTTTACAATGTCTTGTCTCCCTAGCAATTAATCATGCATTATAGTGAACAGAAGCTTAAAGGCAACCAACCATCATACTCATATGTCTACGTTTATACTACTATTGGGAGAGATTCCCTAGATCTAGATTTCCCCGTATGTGTCCATATCGACAAAATCAATGATCATGACATCGAATGAGTTAAACAATGCATGCTTTGAGCAAAGAGGAAAAACCCTAACAATTAATGAAAGAAAGCATGTATCTTAAAGAAGATTTTGAAGAACAAATTCCATACATGAGAGTTTCAAAAGGATTACATTGATTCCCCAACAACTATAAATGTTTAGTTCACCATATTCATGGTGAAACTATATGAATTACAATGAAAGAGTGAAAAGATAGAACCCCAGAAAGTGAGAAAGGAGCCTTAACATTCAAGATCCTCCTCCAAAGGGTGAAATAGTGTGTTTCTGCTTCGTCCCAGCCAAAGATACTTGACCTAGGCTAACTAAAACCTTATATAATATTCTAAAAATTATAAAAAGTGAGCCCAAGCCCATCAGAATGCCGCTCAGCGGTAAGTGCATGACATGTATTATGCCCCTCAGTTGAAGTTTTGCCCCTCAACGGTGACTACGGGTCTTCAAAGTGCCGCTCAGCGGTAAATGGTGTTGAGCGGTACTTGCGGCTTCTTCCTTTTTTTTCAATTTTTCTTCCTTTTCTGAATCCAACTCTTAGCTCCTTCACTTCTTTCACTCAATTAATCTCAAAATCCTGCAAAAACAAGGAAATCAAGCATAAAACATATCCAACTCTCTTATTTCCAAAAACATAAGCAAAAGCATGATTCCAAGCTAGTTTCTAAGTCATAAAGGTTGTTTTTTATATCAATTTTAAGTATAAAAATAAGAGTTTTTCAACAAAAAAATGTCCATTTAGGTGGTTTTCTCCAGCTGAGGTGAGGTGCATGACCATTGTTGTAACACCCCTTCTTGGAGTCTTATAGGAAAATTTTTCATTTTATTAATTAAGAAATATGTCATCTACTGTTGTTACGATGCACAAATTTTAAAAGGAATTTTCAATAAATAATAGATATGTCAACAAGAGGGAAAGATATAGGTATAAGATAACATGCTGTCAACTTTGACCTTTGCTCACTATTTTAATCATAACTTTTTCCACATACCTCAAAAATCCTTTCAATGACTACTAATTTATAATTTTTGGACATCTGAGTAGGTGCAGTTAATTCCTTAAAGTTAACGTTTTATATATTTCTACCACCTCTGATCTTTGCTGGTTGTTTTGCTCATAACTTTCTCCACCGAACTCCAAATGAGTTGATTCTTGTTTTGCTGGAATGTAGACTCAGATCTTTAAAATGATTACTAACTCATAATTTTTAGACCACCTTAGTAGATGTAGTTAATTTCCCAAAAACAACGTTTTTCTAAGCTTCCTAAATGAGTTTACTTTCACGTTATTGTCTCATGTTTCTTATATTATTCTAATTTATTTTCTTTCTTTATAAAATTTCCATAATTCAAGGTAAAATAGTAGTATAATTAAGGTGTGATGTGATTCTACTAGCACAAGTCGAACACTTATATGGACTTCACTTACCTTAGTTTAAACACCTATATGAACTATTTTGTCCACAATTGAGTGGGGTAAATTTTTTTTATGCACTTGAAACCTATTTGAAAGCTCTTTGAGTCTAGATTCCAACAAAAAAGAATCAAGTCATTTGGAGTTCGGTGGAGAAAGTTAAGAACAAAACAAGTAGCAAAGGTCAGAAAAATAGAGTTGGGGATTGTTGTTCATCCAAGTGGGGAGTACAGTTGAAGTTTCTGTAAAAATGACCATTTTTCCTATGGTAATTGATTACAAGACTCCTGTAATCGATTACCAGGGCAGAAATTGGCCAGAAATGCTTATGGAGCTCATCTAACTTATATGAAAACACCTAAATGACATTTTTTCTCAACAATTCAATGACCTAACATGTTCCTGCACCATACACATTGGACACATGCACTTGTAATCGCTTACAGAGAGGCTGTAATCAATTACTAGGTTAAAATTGCAGTTTTGTATTGAAAGTTGATCTACGCTACCCAAATGTGGCAATTGCGCTCCCCATTATTGTTTTTTGTTTGTTATGAGTATCTTTTTAAGATATTGTCAATCGAGGACCCTTGTTGGTCATGGTTGATGGTTTCCACAATTTGTGGTGTGAAGTTTGATAAGTCTTCTGTGTAGGTAAGACCCATCCTGGGTGGTCTTAGCAACGCATGCTAGGTCCTGCACCATACACACTGGAGAGATGCACTTGTAATCGGTTACAGAAAGGCAGTAATCGATTACTAGGTTAAATTTGCAATTTTGTACTAAAAGTTTATCTGTGCTACCCAAGTGTGGCAACCGCGCTCCCCATGATTGTTTTTTTGTTTGTTATGAGTTTGTTTTTAAGATTTTATGAATGAAGGACCCTTGTTGGTCATTGTTGATGGTTTCCACAACTTGTAATGTGAAGTTTTGTAATGAATCAATGGTGTGTGCGAAAAAAGCCCAAACCTTGGTGATACCAACCTCGACGGTGTGT